GACATTTCCGCAGTCGAGTTGCCTGTCACAGGGGAGGGAAAGAAGGGAAGATCAGGAGAGAGGGCTGCTGTTTCTTCCCCTTGAAATTGAGATTTCTCAGAACCCTGTTTTTCTATGCTTTCAGCACGACATTTCCAATAGCAGGCTTCAGAAGAGCTTGTTCTGAAAGGAGTGTTTGGTTCAAAACTGAATGCTGCTCCAGGAACCCCTGAAGAGAGATGTGAAGGAGCTTATAGGATGACCTGTCGAAATCTTACTTCATCTTCTCTACCCTATTGTAAATCAAATTTGCATCTAGAGACTAACATGTAAATTCTAAGACTTCTTCTAAAAGATATATTCAAATTTTCCACAGACATAAAATGTCTATGATGTATTTTGATAATACTTTCTGATTCTGCAGTTGATAAGGGCTTGCTTTTTTTATTTCAGTCACTTGTTGCTCAGAGAAGCCAAAGGTAAAAGAAGTTCTGTGGACATTATCATACAAAATAAGGACTGAGAAAGGGTTAAAGCACAGTCCAGTGTTCAAACATCATACAGAACTGCACAACTCCACAGTAAAATCTGGATGTGGATTCCTTTCATGGAGGAAAACCATCCGTCATCGTGGCTTGGTGCACCAAGAGGAAGATGCTTCATACAGGTCACACCAAGTTTTGGCAGAATGTTGACTGGCCACATAACTTTCCATGCTATTTCTTGAAAAGATGCACCAAGGATAAAATTGGCCGAGTCACCCTTAAGTCCAAAGGAAGTTCCTTCATTTTGAAAAGGGCAATACATGCAAATAGAGAACAAAAAAATTCATGTCACTCTCCTTTGCAGAGGTCTTTAGCTCATCATTACTGAATCTTTGTAGGAAATAAGCTAAACCCCAAATATAGAGCATTCAAGCCCCGTAGTCACTACAGAAAATGAGACAACCTACTCTTTGAATGAGTGCAGGATTTTGCGAAGCTTTCAGTGCCCCATTGCATCCCCAAGGAAACAACTGCAAACGAGGGATAGTCTTTTAAATGGTTATCACAGGTGTTACAGGTCAGGAATTTTGGCTGTGACCATCATTACTATCTTCAGAAACAATTCCAGTGCTATGGAAAATGAGAACCACCTACACTCTTTCCTCCTCATATCAGCGTGAGACATGTATTTATTACAGATAATTTGTAGTCTATTCAGCTGAAAAAGCATTTGTTCACTTGATTGAATGGCAGTGGGCCTAGAAACTACATACTGCAGTTTCCAACTACAGAAAATCATATACATATATTTTCCAAATCAAACCAGAGAACAGATGCAGCTCATCAAAAATAAAATGATGGGATCATGTAATTTATCATATTTCAAAAAGCGAGAAACTAAATAATGCACTTTTGAAGCAAACTCCCAAACTGCTGCGCTAGAAGAAAGCAACCCAAGAGAACTTATTTTTCAACAATGAGCAGGGTAAAAACCTGCGGCAGTCAATACATGCTTTAAATCAGTAGCCTCCAGTAAATGAGAACATCTGGAGCAGCAAATCTTGCTGCCATTCTCAGAAGTGACAAGACTGTGATTTACCTGAGAACAGAGAAACAACCTGCCAGCATCACAGAAAGAGACTGAAAGAAGCTTCCCATTCCGGAAGAACTTTCCTTAATAAAACTGTCTTTCACTCAACAAGTTCATTAACATGCAGAGCTCAAAGCTCTGCGAATGGGTGAGCTCAACAACGCTAATGAACCTTTCCTGGTGAATGCAAGTTAAAGTTACCACTGAGTAACCTGCCACAAAATAGCCTGGGATAAACCTCAACATACCAGGGCTTTTGCTTATGTGAGACTGAACATGGAATATTTATTCAAATAGTCACTACTTTATTTTAAACCATAGTTCAGAATTTAATATCATTGTAGACTTCATCCAGAGTATTATTTTAGTCACTCTGTGACTGCATTTTCTATGCAATGTCACAGCTTCCAGCACAGCAGCTTCTTAGTGACCATGGTAAGTTTCTACTCCACAGTTCTCATAATCAGAAATTGGAAATATTATTAAAAAGTTGCTTTGGAAAAAAAAGCTTCAGCCACACCAAAACAGTGCAAATGAACTTTGCTTACGAAAGATGAAGGGTTCCAATGAAACAACTGGAAGCTACAGATTTAAAATTCAGCAGTATCCAAATAAATTTGATTGTGCGCAATTCAAACTGACCTGGTATTGCAATATTCACCACACTTCTCTTTAGAAAGATAAAACCCCTTGATATCCAATTGAAAAATTTCATTGGGCTTAAAAACTGTTTTGGACTTAACAGCTTCTACATGTCAGCGATTTCTGCCTTTGAAGCCTGCTGGAGCACAGGGCAGTGCCAAGTCCACCTAGCACAGGCCTGCCCAGCACCACACAGGATTAGCTCAATTGAAGATGATGACGTCATACCTTGAATCAGACCCAGACTTCCCAAAACATGAACCTCTACAGTATAAGTCTGCTTTCACGCCAGCTGTGAGCAGAATACATGCAGTGCTGTGCACGTCTCCAATGCTGACATTTGAAACTGGCTAACCTGTATCTTGAACCCATCAGAGCCTGGCCTCACGCACAGAAAATGCAGTTGTAATGAGGACTCAGCCCCCCTCAGGCTCCCAGACTTGTCTCCAAATCTATGGTTCAATAACAAGATCATTTCTCCTTTGTCTGGTTTGAATAAAGAGGAATAAATTTAAATCCTGAGTAACAGCTACAATCTCTATCGCCTGTGCCTGCTATACATTGGTGCCAGCATGAGGTGGAACTGGTATTTGCTGCCTGATTCTCTTATTACTGTTATTTACTTTTTTAAGATTCATTAAAGGAAAATTCTGTGTAAAAATAATGCAAAATACAAAACCAGGATTAGTGCTTCTATTGCACAATACTTATTTTAAATACATTTATTACTGTAACATACAACTATTTCTGGATGCAACAGGCAATGAACCAAGTTTCTCCTGAGCTATGTTACTTACTGTGCTTTTTAATGGGGATGTCAAAAAAAATAAGTAATTTCAGCAAGATAATGAACCTGCAAGAAATAGCGCTCTCTCTCTCATTCTGTTATTTTGATTTTATCTAAGTTCTGGATTTTTTCTGTGCACGCACTTTAAATGAATGCTCACCCATTCCTGTCAAGCAGCTTGTCTTACTACTTCACACTTGTTCAGTACATTCCGAATCCCTGCTTCCTGAACCACTTGCATGCCTAATGATAGTGCCTTGCTGGAGGGAAGGAACATTAGGAAATGGGGAGCATGCATACGGAAAGCAAGTGTCAGATTATCAAAACCACTTTCCCATCACTGTGAAGGCCACTACCTCATGCAGCACAAACACTGAGAACAAAATTTAAGGTCTGAAACTTTTTCTGGCAGGGCAGACTGTAAAATATCAAGAAAAAAATACAAAGTTTACTCTAAAGACGTAGACTGTACAGAAGTAATGACTCTCTGGGCAAAACAAAGCCCAGTTTCCTGACAACTATTTACCATCAACTATCTCTCAAGAGGTGGGCAGGACTTTTCTACAGTTTTTATGAACTCTATAATCTTAGCTACAAGATATGCCGTCATCATCAAAGTCAACATTTCCTATGACCTTCCCTAGGGATAACATGTGCATGACAACATAATTACTCCAGGCTGGAAATCATTCTCCTATTGAATACTCCTGTTGCCATCTTTCCACTTGAGAAAATAGCTCACACAACCCAATTCTAAACATGATTTCGTGTCAAGCTGACTTATTTCCATTTCAATACATCTGCCTGATATTTTCCTTCTTTGCCACACAGGTGCACCATCAAAATAAGCCCGAGATCAGCCTTTCTGGAGCTCTGGGATTGACAGATGTTATCCAGTGATGTACAGCTGGGCCCAGTGTTTCAGCAGCTCCTCGCATTCTGCCCAGAGATTGCAGAGAAGGTCCCTTAAAAACCTCTGTCAGGAATTAGACCAATCTGCTTCCCACTTAAGGAGTTTTAGAGCTCATTTTGCTGACAGGTATTAAAAAGAATCACTGGATTTACTGTCTAATGCTTTCACAATTGTTCTCTTTTCTAAATAACATGTGTCAGTCCTGCAGACATTACTTCTCAGCATTAATAACAACGATTCCCAAACTACTTAATAATAAATGGTTTGAAGGACTTTATACATTTTCAGTTTTGCTTTTACAAACTTGTCTCAGCTCTGTCCAGAAAGCTTCTCCTCCCAGATAATTTCTCATGTTTCAAACCACAGGAAATAATATTTCTTCTCCCTACATGTATGATCTCATCTCAGCCTTTGCACCTCACACACCAGTCAGCCACGGGATAGAAAATTACGGAATCCCAGACTGGTTTGTGTTGGAAAGGACCTTAAAGCTCATTCAGTTCCAACCCCCTGCCACAGGCAGGGACACCTTCCACTAGACCAGGTTGCTCCAAGCCTCGTCCAAGCAGGCCCTGAACACTGCCAGGGATGGGGCAGCCACAGCTTCTCTGAGCAACCTGTGCCAGGGCCTCACCACCCTCACAGGGAAGCAGTTCTAACCTCAGTTTTCCCTGTTTAAGTTTGAACCCATCACCCTATCACTACAGTCCCTGATGAAAAGTTTCTCTCCAGCATCCTTGTCAGCTCCCTTCAGACACTGGAAGCTGCTATGAGGTCTTCACGTGGCTTCTCCAGGCTGAACAGCCCCAGATTTCTCAGTCTGTCTTCATATGGGAGGTGCTCCAGACATGAAGAGATCATGCCCTGATCTACAAAACCCCTCAGTGTGTGCACCACAGGGCTTCTTGAGCCACCATGCCAAAGGAGTCATACACAGGAAAGGTACCTGATAGCACATCTACCTGCCTCACTTGTGCCTAAATTGTACACCAGTACAGAGCCAGCTTGTACGGGACATTTGGTATGGCACAGGGACCAATTCAAAGGCAAGGGATAAACACAACATAGTGTAATGTTGTTATTGCTGTATGCTCAAGAGCTTACCTGTACAGGAGAAATCATCCACACGGACATATCCCACGGCACAGTCACAGCGATAGGATCCAGGCAAGTTAACACACACAGTGTTGGCATGACAATAATGCATCTTGGCAGCGCACTCATCGATATCTGTAGAGAAGAACCACCAACGTAAGTTACAGTCAGGCTTAGGAAAACATAACAACATGACACAATATTAGAATAAGAGAAATTCCATTTACAAATCCAAAAGCAACTTGGTTTAACTCCAGCAGTGGGGCCTACAAGGATGCTGGAGAGGGAATCTTCGTCAGGAACTGCAGTGACAGGACAAGTAGCAATGGGTTAAAACTTAGACATGGGAAGTTCAGGTTAGATATAAGGAAGAAGTTCTTTACTGTGAGGGTGGTGAGGCACTGGAACAGGCTGCCCAGAGAAGTGGTGAATGCTCCATTTCTGACAGTGTTCAAGGCCAGGTTGGACAGAGCCTTGGGCAACATGGTTTAGTGTGAGGCGTCCCTGCCCATGGCAGAGGGATTGGAACTAGATGATCTTAAGGTCCTTTCCAACCCTAATTATTCTATGATTCTATGATTGGCTGGGGCTTGGAGCAACCTGGTCTATAGTGGAAAGTGACCCTGCGCATGGCAGGGGCTTGGAACTAGATGAGCTTTAAGGTCTCTTCCAGTCCAAACCATTCCAGGTTGCCATGAATAAAGAAGGAAGAAAATTTAGTACAGAAGTATTCCTTAAAATAGGCCTAAAATTCCTGTCTCACAGCAATGGGTTCCTTCTGCTGTTCTTCATGAAATCCTTTATTTTTTCAACTCTGAAAAATTAACACATACATTTGGTTTTTTTTTTTTGTGACAATGTTACAAGACAAAAACTGATGTAGAGTTTTCAAACTCGTAAAATAGCATCACAGGTGTGCAGCACTGACAATCCTACCTGCCTTACTGGTAACCTAAAACATGAAGGCACAGTGCCTCTGCACAGCAGGCGGCAGCTGCAGTGAGGGACAGATAAGATATGGCAATGTCTGTCAGAGCAATGCAGCAGATTCAACTGCTGAGTTGATGGGTGAGTGTCCCAGTCCCCCAGACTCACTCAAGTGCTAGGACAATGCTCTTTCCCTGCAACGCAGGAACTCCGCCGGCACAAGTGGGATAAGGGACAGCCCATTTTAAGCTGCTTTACATCATGCCAATGGAACAAAAAAGATGACTACGGAGCAGTATAAACTTGACCCCATATCTCTGTTTGCTTGAGGATCTCTACTGTTGTTGCAATTCCAAAATTCAAAACTGTTTTCACAATAGTGAATCAAACCCATCATTGATTTGCCTGTTTAAATATCCCAAAGCTCGGTGATACTGTAAACTGTAAAATCTTCCCCCTTCTTTCCCCACAAAACCAGATATTATACTGAAGAATTCTCTTGATTTGTTTTCTCAGCAGGATAGATTTTCTGCTTGGTAGCACAGATTTTACATGAAGTAATTCATGGTTTTCAAAAGATTAATTCTAGTGTTCTGTATGTCCACACAAAGAAAAATGAATCAGACTCATTTTCCCCCCTCTATTACCTTTTCCTTGTTATTCACTGCTCACACTCAAGTAAGGTATTAACTGACAACACAGCTGAAGAACTCCCTCAACCAGTAGAGTTGGTCACCCCACAGTGTGGTCTCCTCCCACATCCCTCTGCGCAACCATATACAGAGACCAAGCTACAGTCTTTCTTCTCCCTCCCACCACCTAGTACTTATGGAGATACAATGGAAATGCTACAAGGGATGAGCACCATAACATCAGGATTTAACCCCAGAATAGGAGGGTTAACCTCCATAGTGGAGGGATCATTGTGCACATGCTGAGCTCTTTGTTGCCTAAATTTAGGCGTCCTTTTTAACCTTCCTAAACAGAAATAGCTGCAGTTGAGGTATACCCACATTTTCCAGTCTCTGAAAATGAAACACATGCCAGCTACACTCACACTTGCTATACTATAGACATCTGTCTGGTAGGAACTACTAGCTAAATCACTGTGTGTTGGCCACCAAACAGCTGTCAGTTGGCAGTGATTGCTGACTGCTGCCAACTTGGGCTGAATTAGAAATGATGGCCTGGAGGCAAAAGAGTTGATATACCACAGCAAAACCCTTGAACTACCTCGTTCCCACATTGCTGTTGTTTTTGCTGCAGTGCCACCTGACAAAATGAATTTTAAAAAGTTAGGAGCATCAATATATGAAAGATAAAAGCCAAGAAAAATCCTCCCACATGTCTTGTTATCACACCACAGAGTGCTAGAGCCACTTGGGAAACACTCAGGTATTGACGTGTGTTCACGCTGTTCTGTTTGCAGCCTCTTTATAATAGGCTTTTGGAGCATAACTTTGAGTTTTGTTCTTGCATATCTAATAATTTCCAAGCATGAAAGGGAAAGGAACAAAAGGATGTATGAAAAGAAAGCAAGAATGTCAAAACAGCAAACAATCTACCTGAAAATTAACCTTGCGGGCTACCCTCTATCTCCAGCTGCCTCACTGAGTGCATTGGACAACACTTCTCTTTCTTCCCCCAAAGCAAAGAGAAAGGATTAAAAGTCTCAGAGGTGAAGGAATTTAAACTTTGGTTCATTGCAAGCAAAGCCCACATTACTATATCACAAAATAGAATACCAGTGATACAAAGAAAACCACAACCTCTATGAAAATATTGCTGTGGGAGTATTTCTCAACAGGGGACTCAAAAGGACTTCAAGTAATGGCTGCACTAGAGAGGACTGAGAACAACTGACACCGGGTTGCTGCAGAAATCCTTGAGTCCAGGAGGAAAATGCTGGGTCTAACAAAGGCAGCAGCAGGAACAAAAGATCCCTCTCTTCAAACTTGGCTCATCTACTTAACTCTTTCTGCAATCCCTCTTTGGGCATCTTCCATAAATCCTTTCAGTATTTCTCCTTTTCTTTACCTTTGCAGTATCAGCCTCCTACTAATACACACATTTCCCTTACAGAGAATAATACTGAGAGGTCAAAACTGGCAATAGTATTTTCTTATTAAAGCCTAAAGGGCAATGCTAAAAATGTTGTTCTGGACCACATCTCTGCACATTCCTGTAAAAGGTTAGGTATTCATCACAAAATGCTTTGGGTTTTTACGTAATACTGTTAGAGTAAAATCCACAAAGCACCCAGTGGTATAGATCAGCTCAGCTGTAATGGAACTCAAATTGTGATTCAGGTGTATAGATTGCTTGTCGCATTTGAAATATTACAGCTCATCTTATAGTGGTCTTCTGAGGTGATAAAAATATATGATTTATGTTTCTCTCCAGACTGGTGAAGTAGTTTGTTTTTCTTTTCCAAAGGTATACTTATGGTCTCTAAAATAAGACTTGACACAGCATAATGATCATTCACATCTCACCAGCTGCCATCTCCATAGGCTACCTCTTTGCAACAACAAAGACATTCGGGCTTCAGCTTTCCCGTAAGGACCATAATATTACAGGGTGCGTTGGTTTGGTGAGCGAGAGCTGTTCTTCTGGGTTCAAGTGTTTCCTTAATAGTTAACAGAATACATACACATGAATTCTATTTTATTATTTGTGCTAGTGAAAACGGAAGTATCTCAGTGCAGCTACCTGCTTAGAACCTGCCATGCCTTTTGCCACACAGCAGCTACTTACCATCTCATACCAACCAACCAGGCAAAATAAGATGGGATGGAAACACAGTACAAGTAGCATTTAATCCATGGCCAGTGAAAGAGGTTTGCAGGTGCAAATGTACTTTACAAACCATTTGACTCTTCTCATGCCCGACTTGGAATCCTACTGCTAAATATTTGTAACACTGAAACATGACAATAAGATATCAAATCACACCTGGAGCCTCTTTTTACTGTTTGTCTCCTCCAGTGAGTCTTATCAAAGCAAATTCATCTCTGCCGTAAAGAGGGCACCATTCCTGTTAATGACAATGGGAGTATTGTCCATTCAGGTCAAAGGCACCTACTGGTTTTCAAACTGTTAGCCCTGTAATAACCACAAGTGAACAATCTTGAAGCAAAGCACACTCTAACTCTGCAACTGCAGACCCCTGTTTGCATACATTTAATAATAACCCATGTGGACATGAGCACTATCACCACCTGCTGTCTGGGGCTTCAGAGTTTAAATACTGGGAGACAATAATATTCCAATCAAAACAAAATTACTATGAAGCGTTCCAGAGCACCAACAGGTGTGTGTGTAAGTCTGCTAAGTATCAGAATCAATTAGTCCATTTGCACCTATCTCCCAGCTACTTCCTCAGTGGTTGGGAGCATGTTTCTCCGAACTTGATCCTAGTTTTAAGCCCTCTGTAAAGAAGCAAGGACAGAAAACCAAAGATGGAGGGGAGAGAGGAAGGACAGAATTGCAGAAAGCTCTGATGTCTAATTCATGACTCCCACCTAGAAACCATTATTAACGGGGGGATAAATTCACCTCCCCTCCTTTTATTCAAGTTAATACTATGCCTTGACATGACCTGTATTCAAACCTGGTCTAAATATTTTGGGGTTTAATAATGCAGAATCAACCTGGGTTGTTATTTAAATAACATCAAATCTTAAAATATATTCCCAAGCTGATGAAATCATATAGACAAAGGTCCAAGACAGTGCAGCACAACAGTACTGGAACATAAAAGAGGTCCTAAAATTTCAGTCACCTCACACTCCCGCAACAAGGAACACATGGAATTTTCACACCACTGACTTAATAGTAACCTTGTTCATTGTTATTTCTGGTTTGTATTCCAAATGCTCCCTGATTCTGTCCTCTCCTGCCCTTACCTCCTTTCCACTGCCAGGCTCACTTGACTTCAGCTCTGCTTACCTGTTTTGTTTTAACGCTTCCACTGCCTGTCCTCTTTCTCCTCTAACATCCCCCAGACCTGGTTTTTACCTTTAGTACACGGCCAGTTCCTCAAATTGTGCAACACAGCCCTCAAGAAGCCACAAAGCATAGGACAGCAGGAGTGAGCAGTTATCTGTGAGCTGGCAGCAGCTCAGCTTCCAGCAGTTGCCTGAGTAAGAAAAGACTAAATATGGGCTGCAGATGTTTAGGCCAGGCTTAAAACTGCTCACGAGCTT